AAAAAACAATCAGGTATCGAGATTTGGGTGAGACTATAATTTATAGACGATCATTGAGCGACGCCAGACTGACCTTGGGGGTGTCCACTTAACAACTAGTGTCAAATTACGGTTATAGACCTGCATGAGGAATTCGATTTATAATTTACAGTTGATTATTAAGGCTAGGAACTAGATTTTGATTTTTCATCACGAACTGACATCAGATATAATGCTGAAACTATATTTACCCAAATGGATGAATGAATTTTCCGCCAATATTCGAGACCTGTTACCTTATATTTGATTGGTTCGTCCATAATTAATAGTCTCGCCGCGTTGGTCAAGGCGTTTAAGCAATTAACTAGGCACGGAAAACAAAATCTGTATTATGGCCCGAAATTAGAGTAAGTTTACAACTGATACATCATTACTATGATGAGAAAGCAACAAAATACATAGACAGATTGCTTTGAGAAATTCAACGTTTTCAAGACTACTCATGTTAGAAGTATTCTTAATAAGTTATATCGAACTTTAATGAGCACGTAATTGTAAACAATTAACGTACCACGTGACCTTGAATTCGAGTGAAGCTCTTTTTTCCAATGCCATATGTTTTAAGGATGGCTGACATAAACAAAATAAACTTCATACTCCAGCTTTTTCATATTAGTCCCAGTTAAATTGGTATTCATTTGAAAGTTGGTATTTTTTATATATGATGTATGCTGTTCCAGAAGGATGGAGTTGCTAAAGATAGTCGTTTTTCCGTTACAAGGCAGTTGAAAAGCTGGTTGCAATGTGACGATTATGAAACCAGAAATGAAAAGAATTCTCAAAGTAAATGAGTTTTAAGATGGATTAATAGGTAAAGTATCTAAATAGTCAAATGAACAAACATTTGGAACAGATGACAATTAGTTAGGAATTTAGTGACTTTCACAGATGCCTCATAACACCTACTCACATTCATGTTAAATTTTGGACAGAATGATTATTCCTATGCGGTCGATTGCCCTGTGACAAATTTTTTATACTTTGACCTTGTCCATCACCAGCCCATAACATATTTTTATACATGATTGCGTACATAAATACCTATCCTTCTTACTTACCGGTGCTTTATAAATAGTATATTTGCGAAGATAAAGTGCAACTCTTGCTCAGGGTTCGAAGAGGACATCAACTTCTAGCCAAAATGTACATCAATAATGCTAAAACTGAGTAGACACAAGCGGTGATAATATTATACTGAAATAATACATTAACTGAATTTGTGTTAATACTCTAAATTCAAATCATCATCAATTCTATAGCAATGGAAATGACACTAGCAATAGAGTAACCGGCGATTGTACTATAGTGTAGAAAATCCAGGAACACTTCAAACTGGTTTAATCTGCATTGTATTGGAATGAGTCCAAACTGTTTCAGAACATTATTTAGTCAATCTTTCAAATGTTTACACACACATCCGAAGAAACTGACACGATCAATGGTGGTGATAGTGTAGTGTCAGTCATTATTTTAAGCCCATATACCTTATTCTAGTTTTTGGACAAACCAATCTATTCATTCTACTTGAGTCATATGTTGACCTTATCAATTATTCGCTTGTCAGTCTTGACTGTTTTTATATGAGCGTATATATGTGTGTGCCCTTCTTATTCCATTAATCACATGTCTGTAGCTTTATTTTGTCTGACTATAAATATTGAGTAATGCTTGACTAAAATGGAGTTGGCTAACCAGCCATCTTCCCTGCGTGTCACTTTGCTTTGCTCTGTTTCATTCGTCTCATATACAAAATATATGTATGCACCAGTCAATTCTCGTTATTTGACTTATTTAATTCCGTTATTGGCTAACGTGATTTTAGTCGACGATTATATACGAGAATAGGCGATAACAAACATTTATACGATCTTCGAGTCAGATCCACGGGCCACTAAAGGAGATCGCCCTTCCTCTCGAGATGCTTTCACATGCATTCAAAGTCGCTCCTAAGGAAGTCTTACACACCACTTTCGCGCGGCGAGGGTGATGGTTGCGAAAGTGAGAAGACGAAAAGCGAATAAATGATGAGTCTTGCTAATTGAATGCTGTATTCGGTTCTCAAGCTATTCTAGTAACTCCCAAGCTAGAACTACTCAACAACCTGAACATGAGAGAAACACTTTACTCCAAAGGTGCGTTTTAGTACAGAAAATATAGGGTTTTTATAGTATTTTAGATTTTTTTGGTTTTCCCGAAAATTCCGGAATGCTACTAAACATAGAAGCAGTATAAGTAATCAGCCAATCAAAAACTCTACATGTGACTTTTCATTTTCTCGATGTTTCTTGTGAACGCTCATTGTATAAAAATGCTTTCTAGTTTTTCCTGAGTTCTTTCTTGTCTTTTGCGAGAAGTTTTCTGGGTCACCCCAACAATACACGGAGCTCTAATTGGGTTGGTGTATATGAAGGACTACCTATGGGAATTGAAAAACTCCGATTCCAAACACATGGTGCAGGTGATCTTGTACTGGCATTGGATACTATCCACACAGTCCTCAAAGCTGAACACGAGACACTTGAGAAAATAGATGTTCAACATTTGATGCGGAAAAAAACCCAACGATGAAGAAGGCTGGAACAATGAATCGAATGAATTCGGATTGACCTGATGACATGGCTCAGCCTCACAGGTGTGGTCGCTCTGTACAACTTGCTTTTACTCTTATTAAATACATTGTTCTATCTCCAGTTATATCATGACGAATCTGCAATTTTAGGATTAAGTCTATAATGAAAACAGTACTAATATCATAGTGAACCATAATTCAACAAGCTTCCGGATCCTGAAAAAATAAATGACGTGGGAACATATTGTTGGTCATCAGCCACCATGAAAGTCCATTTCCTAACGTTGTTCCACTGCCTTGTGGTCTAGACCTCTATGCGAAAAACTGGTGGTGTGTTCTCGTCATACAAATCGAGTGACAAAGTGTGGTTCATATGTATTTGGTGTTTCCTTGTACTAATTTTCATTTGTTTAAGTTGAAAATGACACAGGTATTCAGTGTTTGACAACGCTTTTACCAGCAACACCTTCTAATATAATTCGTTCTCACCCAGAGAAATCAAAAGACAGAGTCGAGGAGATCGGAAGAGTGTATATGGCGATGACCAATATATCGGAATTCTCTGATCTAATCTGGCTAGCGATTGCAGTAGCAGTTGAGCACGGCGTTACCTCACGTGATCTGGTGCGGATGCCTGGCCGAGCGCCTTTAGCTAGATGAGTTCACTAAAACACATGGTCAGCATCCAATGTCGAAAACTTAAAGAGCTATTTATTTTGGGGATTTATTTACCGCTACAAAGTAAACAATATTGAAACAGCATATCATCTATAATGATATTGTACACGTTGTATTGATTTCATAACCTCAATTTAAAATGGACTGATTTGTGGCCCTTGTTCAACTCAATGTTCATATTTAGTTTGTATTCAAAGCATGGACACTAATATCAATAATTGATTCACTGCATAATCAGAAAATTGAGTTGAAAACATGGCTCTCACAGCTACACTCGTGTTTAGTTTTTGTTAGATATCTATGAAATTCATGAAATTACAACTATTGATCTGTGACAAAAAGTTTTTAGTGATAGCTTTGCCGTTTACGACTTTTATGATAAACGAAAATTCGGGGAGCTCACAGAAAATCTGAAGTGCAGTTGACACAATCTGCAATCAAGCAGCCCAAGAGATGCAGCATTGGATTCGTGGCCTAACTGCGTAAGGGAGTATATCTGAAGTGACAGAGGATGATCAAGATAAAGCAGAGGCTAGAACAAACTATTTGGGGCAGTTTTCACACAGGAACTTATCCTAGACAAAGAAACGGACCCAAATACAATGTCAAAAACCATCTGCTCACCGTGAATTTTGATCAAGACGATGTGCTTTAGGCTACTCGCATTTTAGCCATGGAAAAGTAAACAGGACCTGATGAACTGCATCCCAAACCCCTGAGACGAATTGCACAATATGTTACAGCCACAACAATTGTGATAATTATTATGTCACTCGACCAAGGTGTGTTACATATGGTGTGGAAGGGTGCAATCGTTACTCTCATACATAAAACAGGACCAAGACAACTTCCATCGAACTATAGACCCGTTATCCCCTCCAGTGTCGTGGAAACCAACAACTTGTTAGACAGCCAACATCATGGTCCCAAAAAAGGTTTATCTTGCACAATAAACCTCCTTATAGCAATCGAGCAATGGATAAAGACCCTAGACAATGGAAAATTAGTGGATGTTGTCTACATAGATTTCAGCAAACTATTTGATAAGGTGCCGACATATAGACTGCTCTTGAAGCCGGAAAATATAGGTATTGCCGGACTCCTAAGATAGCTTAAGGATTTCGTAGTAGGTCGTAGACAGAAAGCAATAGCGAATTCCAAATGCCTCACCTAGAGACCAGTACTTAGTAGGGTACCTCAGGGTTTTTTCCTAGGTTCTTCACCTTTTATGCTGTATTTAAATGAACTTCCAAGTATAATTGAGTCCACAGTGTTACTATACGCTAATTTAAAACTCTGGCGACAAATAACAGGAAACGCAGATGCATACGTACTTCAGGAAGACCTAACTGGTCTGAGTAGTAGCTGATGGCTATCAACGCGGCGAAGTATGTCTACATGCACTTTGGGAATACAAGGGTAAATATGTACAATATAGGAGAAGTGCCTATACCCGTGGTTCGGTCTCACAAGGATCTTGAGGTGACAGTGAGTCATGATCTTATGACCACGGCCCATTGCCGAGAGGCAGAAGACAAGAATTTTAGAACCCTATGGGCTTTAAGAGGGACATTTGCTAAGTTAGATACTACCATGTTCATTGCAGTATACAAAACCTTAATAGAGCCCAAACTTGAGAACTGGGCTCAGACTGAAAGCAACTGTTTCAAAAGAAACTCACAATAGATCGAAACATCTCAGAGGACATAGCAGGTGTACGGCCAGTGAAATGTCACTGAGCCCCAACCAAATAACTAGGCATTTGAGTCACTGAATATTGAACAAATCATCGATCCCCGTAAAGGTCAAGGACGACCAACACGCATCAGGTAATCGTACGCCATGGACTGGCCCATGCGGCGGTGGTCTTACTTTCACTTGTATCTACTTTAACTAAGATATTTCAGTAATAATGTCCATTGTGTTGTACAGTCTTCAAAGCATTTATAGTACCTCGATACGTCGATGGGGTAATCCACGTAAGGTGCTGACCGCGAGGTGTGACTTCGACGTTAGCTGGTTCGTCACACAATTCCCGTCTAACTCTAATAAGCCTCCAGTCATTCGAGATAGATCATCTACACTGGTGATTTACACAGGCGAGTATAAAGGCGAGGAATCAACAAAATGACCTTTGCACACAGATTTTAACACTAAGTCAGCAATTCTGTGAACACGTTACCCGAAGCAGTAGTGCCTGCACCTTTAATTGACTCATCCAAGAGAAGAACAGACACTCATAGAGTCACGCTAGAAAAGAAGTAACATGGGAAATAGGCGTTTTGTTCTTACTACACAAATCTGAACCGAAATATGAATCTGAACGCTTGATTAAATCGAGTTGTCTCACTTGCCTTCTCCGACCCGCTTCGCTCTCCCCTCTTCGTCATGAATACATAAAATCCAATTATTTAATCCCGTTATTCTCTAACGTGGATTATGTCGATAAATATATACGGAGGTAGGTGGGATTTTTATTTCTATAACAACCAGTATACAATCCAACTGGAATCAAACATAGAGCTTCTAGACAGTTAAATGGCTTGCTCACACACACTGGACGACATGATTTTCCTGAATCTATGTCAGTGCATCAAGTATCTAGAACAAAGAATTAATTAAATTATGTAAATTCGTCTTGACGATATTGGATGTCGTACGAAGACAATTTAAACCTTCCGCCCTATTCAGGTTTAGGGTCATCAAATGTGCTTTTATGGCTGTGTTTGTGTTGGTAAGGCTTTCCAGGACTATATGTAATATGGAAAATCTTGATTCTGTCGAAAAACTTATTTCTGTCTTTTGAATGGTTGTTTCTTGTTAGCCTAACAGTGTAATTGTGGTGGAGACGTCCGAATCCCATCTTCTGACTCCTGGGTCTGATCTCTTCACTTACTTCAGTTTAAGCATCTGAAAAGTGTTATTAGCCGGTTTCTGAGTGTCTGAAGAATGAGTTGGCCTGAATTCTAGATGAACCTATAGTTTATGAACGACACTTAGGTGACGCTAAAGTGAAATTGAAAGTGTCCACCTACTTACTTGTGTTAAATGAGGTTTACAAACCAGTGTGAGTTATTAGGATTAGAATTTATGTTTAGAATTTAGGGTTGGGAATTAGAGTTGGGGTCTTCATCATGAACTGACATCAGCCACATGAATGAGTGAATTTCGTTTCTGAATCTAAGACTGGTCATCCTAAATACGATCAGTTCGTCCGTAAATTATGATATCGCTCCTAACGCAGTGTGACAGTTTGTAGCTGTAAACACGATGTAGTCCTACAACCAATGACTTCACGAAGTAGTTCCACTTTTTGGTTTGGCCACTCATCTGTTCTTCAAATTAGTTTACAGCAACCAGCTCTTCCCGTATCTGGGCTATGGTGATATTTGCCTTACCAGTCAGTTAACGAGGACTTAATCTCATCAGTTTACTTATTTTTACTCTTCACAAGGAAATATAAAACAAGTAGTGATTGTTGAGAATCTAAAACTGGGAAATTTATTGCGATTTTCTCACAGTCCGAGTATTTGGGCTAGTTCCCATATCAAATATACTCTGTACAGGTAGAATCATATTTATCCACACAACGGTAACATTTCTTAGTAAGATACTTCATAAGCTTAAGATTTCGTTCGTTGTAAGTATCTATCACTACATATTCAAAGGAGTTTCACAATGATCCGATTACTATCAAGTCCAAAGTAAGATGGTATGGTAGTTTATCAATACAACAATTTTCAAATTTATAGCACTTTGAAATAAAAATGTTCAATCTTGACTTTTCTTTTTTTTTTTTAGTCCCAGATGCTGTTTAATGTGCTAGTGGAAGTGAATATTGTTATTCTCCATACACGAAGGCATTAAACCAAACGATAGAAAAATCATACTAGAAAATTTGTTCCATATGTTCCTACTTTGAAGCAATTCCCTTCAGAATAATTACTATATAACTATGGAGTGCTTCTGTCACTGTTTTGTCTGGATACCATTTTTTATTTTGCTCCAAGGGATTTGTGAGGCTTATACACAACAAAAATTACTTGTAATATCTTTAGATGGTTTCAGTCATAATTATCTAGATCGTGCTAAGCTTCGGAATGTCAACATTTCCTCTTTTGAACGGATTTGGAAGACCGGAATACGTGTTATGAAAGTACATAATGAGTTTATTACTCGAACAGGACCAAATCACTTATCACTGGTCACTGGGATGCATGAAGAGAGTCATGGTATTGTTGATAATGTGTTTTATGATCCTGAGCTTAATGATACTTTCGACTTGAGTAATAAGAGGCATTTATCACAATTAAAGTGGTTTGATGTTGGGTCTGAACCAATTTGGGTTACAAATCAACGTCATGGTCATAAAAGTGCTGTTACGTTTTGGCCAGGGAGTAGTACACCATTCAAAGGACAATTACCTAGTTTTTATTATTCCCAATATAACCATCAACTTCCTTTAGTTGATCGAATTAATCAAACCATTAAGTGGTTAAATTTAGATGAAGTGACACTTGGTCTAATATATTTTCATGAACCTGACTCACAGGGTCATTTGACCGGACCTGATTCTGTTGAAATTTTTAATGTTATCGAGAAGTTAAATGATGATATTGGGTACTTACTATCTTTAATTGATACTAGGCCATCTCTAAAGTCATCACTTAACATTATTTTAACAAGTGATCATGGGATGTCTGGAGTGGATGCTAACAGAATAATTATTCTGCATGATTATATCAACGAGAGCATGTATTATAGTCCGGGGTCAGAGGATCGTGTGTTTTGGTCATTATGGCCAAAAGATGGTAATTTGTCCGTTCATATAAACTTTTCTATATGTTAAAAGGGAGCTCATCTATTAATCTCTACAAAAGACTGGTCGGAAAACATCCAAAGATGAATGTTTTTCTGAAGGATAATATACCTATTCGTTTACACTACTCGAATAATCGACGAATAAGCCCAGTGGTAGTTTATTCGGAGCCTGGGTGGACAATCGTTAGATCACGAAAATCGGTTGCGAAATTTAGTAAGTATAGTATTTTAAGTATTGATATGCGAGTCGTCTTACTTGTTTTGGTCACATAAACAGCTTCATTTGATTTTATTATCCTAAAATTTTTCCAATTTCTGGTGTAAACTATTCTTGTTCAACTTTTAAAAATCAAATTGGTTGTGTTAGCCAAAATCAAAAGTATAAATGAAGGAAGATAGGTACTCGGATGATTCCTTTTATTTCCATCTAAAATTGATAATATTAAACTCCTGCTTGCTGCATTGCAAAATCTTTTATCTTATGACCATTCGTATTTTTTGAACAATAAAAGTGAATCATAGAACTACTATCAATTGTTTTGAAGATTTCAAGCTAAGTTACGTTTATGCATAAACCCATTTTTCACGGATGCCTGGACTTGAGTATGTTCAAGAAACAGTTATAGAGTTTGTCTTATCAATCAGACAGTAATGTAGAGCCCGAAGCAAATATGCATCGTTCAAAGTTCACATGCAATATGAACACAGTGAGATGAAATTATCAAAATGCATACCAAAGTATCAGTGGTAGCAAAAATACTGGGTTTAAAGAAAGTAATTTGCTGTAAAGAATGTATTTGCAGAACAAAAAGTATTGAGTTTTGAAACATACGTTTTGGGAGTAAACAAACAGTGAATGCATCTACTCCATTTCGACCAATTCCGAGCTATTTTACCCAAGGTTTACAACATATAGCCACGTTTTTCATACCAACCCCAACCTGCCAGTATTCACCTGTCGTTCTGTCTAAGAGTAACGATCAAAATTTTAGAAGCTCAAATTGATCATTTCACTTAATCAAATCTTTAATATATCTAGGTCTTGACATCCCATCTGTTCACATATTTATAGTGGTAAATAAAGTCACTTCTGTCTTATTGCTTCAGGCACTATTTTGAAAAATGGGTCACAACTTCGAACTGTGCATCATCTGTTCAGTCTTGGGCAGTCATTTGGCGTCAATAACGTTTATAAAAGTATGGATCATAGGTTATATTCTCTGTGTCATATTTTTGATATGATGAGATAGAATTAGGTTCAACAGTTAGGACTTAATCCATTGAGTAGTGAACGACCCGAAAAATTAATACTGGTCAGTCGTTTATAATATTTAGTCGTGTTATTTTCCTGTTAATAATTATTATATGAATATACTATTCGATCGCAAGAAAAACTCGTACTTTTGTCTAGCGGCCTTAATTTAAACTACAAATTATTCAAGGACTTACATCAATAATTCGGTCCTGTGAAAATTCATTACTGTACTACATTGTATTGTATCATCTATCGATCCGTATTCTTTTGATCCTTCTTAGCCATTGGAAATTTCAGCAAATCATAAAACCTCACCTTATGATAACTTCATTTATTCTCGATAAATACGTTGATAGTAGGTCGTCAGATGTAATTGAACCTTCTAACATTCAAATATTTATTCTGTGATTAATAAGGCCATTCATTTAGTTTTGACACTCCGCTATTCACCTTAATACAATTACTCATTAGATTTCAATCTCCTGGTCAATTCTATTTAGTTATATATTGGATTCATTCAGTAATGCTCCTTGTTTACTGTATTTCAGCTAAACGTGGAGATCATGGTTATGATCCGGACCATGATGAAATGTCTCCATTCTTTCTAGCTACGGGACCAGGTTTCAGGAGCACGATTGTTGGTGGCGGTCAAATAATTAGTTCTATTCATCTGATTGATATTTATCCACTGATGTGTGCCTTACTCAATTTAAATAAACCAGCTCCAAACAATGGTAGTTTATCACGTGTGATGTCACTCCTTCATGATGGTAGTGGTGTTAATGTCTACTTCTCGAGTTTTCTGGATATGTTCACTGGTTAGTTTATTCAATAGTTTGCTCGAAGTTATTTGTCACTCACCACGCACATACAATGTTGACAGATTCTCATCTACTGCTTTGTAATTGTTACATTTTCCCGTGTTAGAGATGCTAGACCCCCAGAAATCACCTGATAAACGTCTTATTTCTGTAGTTTTTGGAAGTTTGAATTTCTCGTTTTCGCGCTAAAAGTGCCCAGTTTTACCTTTAGATTGTATTTCCCACTTGGAAGGACGGTAAATGTCATTGACTCGTTGCCTGTTTTAATACGCTATTTTATGATGAATATATATACTTGGTTTCTCGTGCTTCTGGCTGCTTCTAGATTATACATTTTCTTTATCTGAACCAAGTCTTCTCCCTGGAGTAGCAGGGCTGGGATGCATCGGAGTAATTAGTTTGTCTTGTCTTTGTGTCTCTGACCCTTCGTTCCGTCCGCCGATTTTAGGTGATCTCATGATCTCTTCAAACATAACATTCCCTATTCTCCACGAGTTATTTAAATCGAAGTATGTGTGGTTCACTTCTAAATCCTCAGTATAACTCGAGTCTTCACCATCACGTTCTCCGTCACAAAACATTTTGCCATGTTTGATTACACAAAATACACAGTGTCTCCGGAGTTACTCGTTACTATGTTCATTTTATTAGGGTGTATGTCATTTGTTATGAAGGATAAGGATAGATCAGTACAATAGGATATTAATATCAGTTACGGATATTAGCTGACTAATACACCGAGACAAACAACAGCTCATAACATAACAATCCTAAAATCTAGTCAACTGTTTTATCTTTAAGGCCATTAGGAGCTGATACATAAAACAATAGGAATTATCTATTGTGATTTAAGATATATGGTTGGGAGATATTTAAATGAAATCAGGATTTTGAATTCCATATAATCTGTTGTTATGCTTTGAAAGCCATCTAAAAGTTCCATCTTGAAGTTATTTATCGATTTCCTATTTTACTCTACGTCAAAGTATTTAATACGGAACTCAGATAGCATAAGTAATAACAATAATAATAGATTCCGAGAATTATTGCATCATTTTACAGGCATGATCTGGTTGATACAAAACATTACTAAGTAACACTAGTAATAACTATAAGTCTATTCTATCTGGAAGATGACTTCTAATCATTTTGGACAAATCTGATTTTTTTAAAAAGCAAAACTTTCAGTGTAATAGAATGGATATGTGTATCCGTGATACGATTTTTCAATACAACATTAATGATTGTTTACACTCCATAGCATAGCAAAATCAATTTTCGTAGGCATAAATTCTCTACAAATATACAGACTGGTAGCATATACAGAGTTACTAAGCATATGGCATAAATGTACCCTCAGCACTCTTACGGAGATGCAAAACTTATTAATCAATATATATAACTTAATGGCTAATTGCTATGTTTGAAGAGATTACGAGTTCGCCTAAATCTGCGAACGGAACGAAGACTGAACAACACAATAACCAATAAGATAGCTATTCTGAGGCGTTCCAGCCCGTCTAACTTGAGTGAAGTCCAGGTTCAGAAGAGGGAAAAGTATTCACAAGCAGCTAGAAGCACGCACAACTTAAGCGTATATATATAATGTCTTTGGGAAACGTTACAAAGTAGCAGATTAAAAAAGACAACGAACCGATGATATTTAAGTTCCTCCCAAGTGGGGACAACGACATGAAGGTGAAAACGGGCGCTTTTGATGCGAGAACATGAAATTCAAAATTAAGTTACAAAAATAAGACATTTACCAAGTTAGTTCTGGAGATCTAACATCCCCAAAATTCATACAGTAAATGTCGGCTCATTATCATAAATATTAGACTAGTATTATACATATTACAGTTCTCTTGTATTATAACTTAATCCGAATATTATATCAAGAGTTACGAATTATTCTAATTCAACTTAGTAAAAATTAGCCATTACGTAGTAATTTGTCCACCCATTTATGAATCACACTATAAGTTCTGTTCATTAATATTACATATTTTCTCATAAGAGGATTAAGTGAAGTGGATTTCAAACCTCCTATTCAATAAACCGTATGTCAAGTATATCACCCATTATATAAGATAGCTATCCACCTGTGTTACTAATAATATCCTTATCAATCTACTGTTTGCACAGTATAATATAAGTGTGGTGGATGGTATTTATCCCGGCACATATAAGTAGTATATATCACCAGTCGCGAGTGCAATATCTACCAAGAGAAGATTGAATTAAGAAAAAACAGGAAGGGAAACAGAGAACAATTGAAATAACAACATAATTAGAACAATCACAAAGTATGGAAATAACAACTGAAGAATGTGCAAATAATGTGATCATTGTATAGCTTCCATATTTTGACAAGATGTCGTGTGTAATTTTACGCACAAAAAAGACAATAAATTGTTTCACATTACTCGAGCTCTCGTTTGCTACATAGGTATCGTATCATAATTATTTGTTCGAGTACCTGTTTACTCATTTTAACCGGTACTGTTTTAACCTAACCTAATTGTTCACTTGCTCATTCATATACTACCAATGTTACATTATTTTTACTTGACTATATTTATTTATTTATTTAAACACATAAATATTGGTACAAGGAGGCACCAAGTAGATATACGCCACACAGACCTCATTTGATATGTGTGAGGGCTGTGATACTGCCTTGGTGCCCAAACCGAAGCAAGTGGTTTTCTTAGGGGGCCACATCCGGAGCCTTCAACCTAAAGTTCTGACCCACAAGGCAATGGAGTATCGTGAGGAGATGCAGTCCCATGGTAGCCGGTGACCAAGGATTGTTTTATACGCCATTTGTTCCCGCAGGATACCGGAGCCCATGCGCACCATTGGTTTGGAATGAGGGTTTTCTAACTCCCTTATGTGGACTCTCCGTGTCCACCAACCCAGCTAAAGCGCCGGACATTCGCTTTTCGTCCTCTCAATTTCGTAAACGACACCCCCGCCACGAGAAGGCAATGAGTAGGACTTCCCTGGCAGAGACTGTATACTCGTGGCCATGTGAGAGCATTTCGAGAGGGAGAGCGGGCCCACTCTACTCTCGGCTATACCAGGGCATTTGGGGGGTACTTGACTATAAGTCTATGACTTCATATATATATATATATATATATATATATATATATAGCGAGAGAGATTACTTTTGATGATAGTATATGCTTTTTTAATCTGATCTTATTGTTTGTGTTCTTCTCTTCTCCAAAACTTGATCAATCAAACATAATAGTCGGAATTGTTTTATTATGTTGTACAACCGTATCAATTGTATACATAATATGCACATGTATTTCATCTAAAGATTATCTATTTCCTGATGATAATAATAATAATAAGTTAAAACATTCTATTTATCAACCAAATTCATTTCTAATTCAACGACGTTTACGTAATAAATCTCAACATGATAAACAAAAACAACAATATTGTAATATTGAATTAAATAAGATGAACACTTTAAAAAATAAAATAAAAACAAAAAATAAATTCTATGAAATATATTTAAAAGATGAATCAATTAAACAAACAACAGATAGACAACGATTACTTGATTATAATATACGGGATAGTAATGTTCCCAATAGTTACAATGTCAGTCGTTATGATGATGATGATGATGATGAATATGAAGAATATAATCGATTTTCTATTCAACATATAGATGATGAAACTTTTTTAAATTTACTTCGTCAACCAAATAGTAAATATCCTTAAGAATGCTTAAAATTTTTCTTCTAGTAATCTATTAATGGCTTATTCTTTCAGTCTCTTACGCTGTTTCTACATGATGTGATATTGAAATTTGTGATATATATGACCATAGTGATTTAGGTGCATTATGATTTGAAATTTATATAGATGGCTGTGTTTCATGTTATTATTGTATTTTATGCATAGGCAAGTGGCATAAATTTTTGTGTTTTCTTGTTTTTATTTATATTTTCAAATAACTGTATCTACTTTTGATTACTTCGTTTATGTATATGTATTGACACATACTTGTATGAACATGTATCATTTAAGGTATCAATTCGATTATTACTTTTTGTGTATGTGATGGATATTTGTGATATTTTGCCAAGTTTTCTTTGGTTATTTTTGTTTATGAATTTTTATTAAATATTATTTAGTTACTAATTTTTTTTTCATGTTTCATTTTGATTAGATTTCATGAGTGTCATCTATTGTAATGTGCTGTGTCCGAAATCTGATACTAACAAGGTGGGCTACGTGTTAACCCCCCCCCCGACTGATTACTTGAGCGAGAAAGTGTATTGGGCTACCCGATGAAATACACTTGACCTTTAGGCGACTTGTAATTGCCATCGATTAAACTTTTCATTAGGCTACTCCTTATTGGCTCTCCATATCATCTATCACTAAGCCTACTGGATCGTTAGTTGATCGTTACAAGAATCATACTAAGGAATACTAATATATAAGAGATTTAATTTCAAACGAAATTACTGAGATTAGCGAGTGGAAAGTATCAATTTAGAGGGGAATGTGAATGATAAATTCAGCTCGGTAGTATTGTAACCGATTTTATGCCATATCACTTTTACCAATGTGAATATCTGCTCCTCTTGAAATGTTTCATTCTAGCCATTAATGGTATCATGAACAGATTCTGTCCCTTAATGAGTCTTTCTTAATTATTATGGAGCTTGGCATAAATATGCATTAGCTTAAGTCATCACACCATGTCAGCACGGGGAGATGAAATCAACAAAATAGATATCGAAGAAGCAGTAATAATCACAACAATAATTGTGAGAAATTTTATGCAATTAGTTCCCTTTATGAATTTAAATAAAGCCAGAACAGAACGTACATGGATGCAGAATAATGTGAATTCATTATATTTCGTGGTTTCTCATCAGTTGCTTACAACCAAATCTGTATTAAGATTTCACATTTACGTAAGATATAATGTGAAGCGATTGACATAGATAAATGAGAAGAATTGAAATGAGAAAGGTTGGCCGCTGAGAATATGATTCTAGAAGATGGGATGAAAAGGTATATAGGAAGTATTCAATAAATAAAGATTAGTATTAAAATAAATGGACCTGGATCGTTGTAACTACTTCTGACCCATATCTTCAATCGATCATAGCCTTTATCATGTGGGTCTCCATCAGGCATCTTACACCCACCAACATTGCTTAGAATTACAGTCCATGATTTCATGTACTGATGACATGTCTTGATTTGACAGCTTCCTTCCACACCAGACAACAAACGCACTCCGAGTTAGACGGTGGATGGACATATAAACGTGATTTATTCTTAACCCTTTACACCATAGAAATGTTCAGAGCTCCCAAGATGTTGGTAAAGAATGTGCTACTTTTGTATTACTTACTTACTTACGCCTGTTACTCCTCGTGAAGTAGCATAGGCCGCTCACTAGCATTCTTCATCCAACCCTGTCCTGGGCAATCCTTTCCAGTCCTTTCCAGTTCCTATTCATCCTTTTCATATCTGCTTCTATTATCCGACGTAATGTGTTCTTTTCTATTAAATAACTTTAATAAGTATTTATCTAACACTTTGAAAGAAGATCACCTTTAGCTCGGTGATAAAAACACCCATTTAAATGACAACTCAAAGTTCGGTTTCTAAGATTTGGAATGTTTATGGTGTTTTCATGGTGTATAATAAGACTAGATATTGTGATTGGTTGATTATTTGTCGATCTGCAATTTAGTTAATAAATAGACCGTACATATGTATGCAATGTATGAAGACCATTCAACCGTTCTTAATAATCAAATCAAATATGTTTAGGTCATTCATACTGTATTTTCATTTTCCCTCCATCAACCAAGTCTGAATTGAGAACTATTTTCAGCTATATTATTTCATACTGAAGGTATTCCAGATATAAGATTAGTCTAGAATATCTCAAACAGATTATACTCGTGGCTCTGATAGGTCGGTCTATTACTGATAAAAATTCCCGAGTGACATAATTAGTTGAGAGACATTTCGCGTAGATATTGGTGAGATCAACCTCAAAGGAACACAATGATCCTACTGTGAAAACCAGCTTGATGGAGTTGGTGAAACCTGCTTTTAATAAAATCAAAAGCCTCGTTTGTAGGCCTTTCTTAAAGTATCTAAGAAGCGCAGAGGGCATTCAGGGGCTCTTTCGAACTGCCAAAGTTGGCGTAGTTACTATCCCACACAGTTGTACTATCGCATGGATAGTTTCGCAATCTAGTCAAATGATAAATTGTGTTGACTGCTCTCAGAGTATCCGTCACCTGGCTATCCTTCATAGTTGTCATTGTAGCGGGTTCTATATATGACACTGTTGGTCCTGTAACTTATTTGGTAAAGCGAAAAATCTACTAACGAAATAAAACCCACACCTAGTCTTCCTTGAGTGCATCATAGAAAAAGCAAACTTTTGTGGCCAAATGCGAAGTGATGGAAAATCTAATTCATGAAAGTTATCCGTACTCAGGTTAAAGTAAACTTAAAAAGAAAGAATATTTAATACTTATGACAGAACTGTTCCGCGTCTGACTTCTGTTTTTGCAATATTCAATGATATTATTTTAACACATTACGACCCTTATTGATCTTGGAAAACTTTTGGAAACACTGGAAAGCTGTTTAGACTATGCACGAGACTTATCGTACCCGACTCCACCGAGGATCGTACCCAGGACATTCAACCTTAGGAATGGATGCTTAACTGCTAGACCACAATCGGTGATCAATAGTGTTCATGTGTAATATCACAATTGATTAAATTTAGACATATATACTAGTGGATCCTAGTTCAGTTGTCTAGAGGCTAAGGGCTTTCGTACAAGACCGAAGGTCATGGATGCTCAACACTAAGGAGTTCAATACTAAAATTACTCTCTGTTCCCGTTCTCTTCGACTCGATCTTCCCAACCTGTTGCTGCTGCTGCTGCTAGGCATTCCACTTCTCTTTGTTGTTATAAATTACTTATCTCGACACCATATATATACATAATGTGACATAAAACCAACTATACTGGTAATAAAACTAAATGATTGATTATGACTTTGAACCGGTTTATAATCGATAAGATTTTCTCGATTTGTTTTACGCAACATCCTTTATCACTGTGCCTAGTTTATTATTATTATTATTATTATTATTATTATTATTAAATCATATATTTAAGCAGACAGTTTAGAGTCTTATTTATGGATTTGTTCACCCAAAAATCAATATAATTGAGCAGAATTATTGAAAATATTGATTTTAAAAATTGTAAATAAAAAGTCAGAGACAATTGACGATAACACTCACCAATATGGATTTGTGAAAATTATTAAGTTTTTGATTGAGATAATGAACCGATTGATGTTAGATCACCACTGAAAGCACTGGTCGGTCGTCTCATCCTATTGTGGGACTCTCTAGCGGTGCGTCCACGATCCCGCTTGCGGGATTCGAACCCAGGACCTCTGGTCTTACGCGCGAACGCTTAACATCTAGACCACTGAGCCGGCATCCAACGGTGTTAATGTCTAGCTTCAACCAAACCACGAAATTATGTCACCATTCACCATTGTCTTCGATAAGTTACTGTCTCACAATAGACCCGGTTGAACTCCACTGGTCATGAAGTGATTAAATCTGGAAATGTAGGGCAACTGAATCACAACTAAATGATGATGTCGTAAGTCCATCCTTCCAAACAGTCCCATAAAGCGATGCTTGAATTAATTATTCTATCTTAATAAAGAAGAACAATATTAACAGAATAAAATGAGTTCATTATATTTCAAGGCTTCTCATCAACTGCAAAGAGCCTATATGTACTGTAGAAATATTATTAGAAGGGGTTTTGTGGAGACTGTAGTAATTTCAATAGTTGAAATCATGAGTCAGTGCATGCTCACTGCTGTGGACTCCCACAATAGTTCGAAACGGCCGTCCAGTGCTTCCAGGTTTTCCATGGTAGTCTAACTTCGATTGACTCATGATCTCAACTATAGAAATATTATTATAACAAATATTATTACATACCATAATTAATGAACTTTATTTCAACAAAAATCTTAAGAAACATGAAGAAACTATATATTTAAGTTAATAGTTAAGAATGTTTTGTATTTCATTTCATATACTGAAAGTAAAAGGGAGAAGTGGTGACGTGTTGGGGGGGGGGGTCGGTAAGGTTGTAAGTGATCATAAAGAGACGATGAATGAAAACAAATCGTTAACATTTTTTTGAGTAATAATAATATTTCTGGAAGCACTGAACGGTCATTTCGTCCTATTGTGGGACTCCTCAGCAGTGCGCATCCAAAACTAAAATATCCACAAAACCCATCTGATATTAATCAACATATGCTCACTAGTGACTTAATGGAATATTCAGGAAAATATCCCAAAAATTATTCTGTTAAGTCTAACGCTATCCTTGGACTTGAAATGGTGTTATTTTCTTATTGGTCAATATTTACTTCACGTGTCGTTTTCCTACTGGTCAGTATTGTACAGTGTTATTTTCTATTTTATGATACGATGTGGTCTGCTTGATTGGTATATAAACAGAGTATGCTTGAAATATAATGATTCATATCTCAAAGGCTGAGACTTGTGTTCTGGACTCAACTGGCTGGGCTAGACAGGGAAGCAGGGCCAATCAGAACTCTAGGTCGTTCTTACGTGTTTTATGCGTCTTTGGTCCGATCGATAATTCGCTGTCCTCTAATCTGCCGTCACAGTTATAGCATAACTGACTTCAAGAGGTATATCCTGGAGTGAGAAGCAGTGACCAGTGGAGTTTAACCAGGTCTGTTGTGAGATAGTAACCCACTGAAGAAAATGGCGGATGTGTCGCTCAATTTCGTGGATTAGTTGAAGTTAGACATTAACACCGTTGGATGCTGGCCGACTCAGTGGTCTAGTGGTTAAGTGCTCGCGCGCGAAACCAGTAGGTCCTGGGTTTGGATCTCGCAGGGGGCAAGGTCGTGAATATGCACTGCTGAGGAGTCCCACAATAGAACGAAACGGTCGTCCAATGCTTCTAGGTTTTCCATGGTGGTCTAGTTTCAACTGACTCACGATCTTAACCATTAAAATTACTATAATATCCACAAAACCCATTTGATAATATTTTTATAGTAAATTTAGG